GCCCCGCCCTTTCCCGGGCGGCCGGTGTCGGAGCAGGCGCGGGGGCGGCGGCAGTGGGGACAGCAGCAGGAAGCAACGTACAAACTGCGGGGCTTGCTCTCTCTGCCGGGCACGAGCACGGTCCGGCCGAACACCCCGACTGCACAAGCAGAGCGCCCCTGATTTGCCCTCGGATCGCTGCCTCCACCACAGGAGGGGCTTCAGGCGGGCTACGCCGCCTTTGAGCCGTCGATGGCCCAATACTCCACGTCCGCCCTGCCAGGCGCAGGCTACGCCCAGGTGTGCATGCGTGCAAGGGTTGAGGGATCACGAGCGCCCCCAGCGCTTTGTCCCCACCACATGAACCCCGGCATGCTTTTTGCAGCGGCGAATGGGCCTGAAAGAAACTCCTTTTGGAGCCAATGTGCTGTGTGGTGCGCTGGTCTTCTTCGGTTCTGCCAGCCTGGGGTGCATGGGCCCTTGCGGTCGAAGATGGATGTGCGCGCTCGTGGGCGCCGTCAAACCCCCGCCCCGCAGGTCGCCGCGCCGCCGCAGATGCAGCAGGGGATGAGCGGGCTGCCCGAGGGCCACGGCTACGAGCCGCGGGCGTCCGCCAAGTTTGGGGACCAGGGTGCCGGCAAGGTGGGTGCGGCGTGGTTGGCGGCACTGACATCAGCATTGGAAAGCTACAGCAGCAAGAGGGGTGACGGAGGGGACAAGTTTGCAGGCCATGAGTGGCCGCCCGGCAGCGGACCTGCTGATGTGCTCGCCACCTTGTTGTGTCCTGTGCTGGCGCGCAGGGCAAGGCTGCTGTCGGCAGCGCGGCGGCCAAGGCCAAGGCCGCCGCGAGCATGGCCGGCCCCTCTGGCGCGGACAAGGGCTACGACCAGGCCGGCGCCTACGACTACGCGCCCGACGCGGCCGCTGGCGGCGACGTCGGCGCGGGCGGCGGCGCGGGCGCGTACGGCGGCAGCCGCTACTGGGCGTCGACCGCGGCGGCGTACTGAGCGCACGGGCGGCGGCGCGCCTGGCTGAAGGGCAAAATGCGGGGATCGGCGGGCGTCGCGGCGCGGGTGCGGGTGCGGGCAGCAGCGCCGTGGAAGGGTTGCTTGGAATGGTCAGGGTAGATAGCTGTTTGGTGGGTGGGGAGGAGGCTCAGCGTTGCGCCGGCATTGCCAGCAGCGCAAGGAGCATGCGTCACGTGCGCTGCCAGCGCTTGTCTGCCGCAGCGTCGCAGAGGGGCGCTGGTGGCTGGATACATAAGTTCGGTCTGCTGTGGGGTCAGGGGCGTGTCTATTTTGACGCCTGCGACTAGCTCGCGTCGGTGCAGGGTGAAGGTGGATGGGCACGCGGCATCCAATTCTGTTCTGTTCAAGCATTGCCTGCACCAGGCGAAGCCCCTTTGCACCTCGCATCGCTCGGCCCTTGGTGGGCCAGCAGAGCACCTTGCCGGTGCCGTGACCAGCCTGCTTTGTGTAGAGCGGCTCATCATTCAAGGTTGCGCCCTGCCTGCACCCTGGGACTTGCTTGAGCTGTCGCCACTGCTTCTGCGTCCGGGCCAGCGTTGCCAAAAGCATGGATCCCAGCGCGTTCCTTCCTGCGCTTGGCTGAGCACTTGTTCTGGGAGCCGAGCAGGCGCGCTCCCACCTGTTGTGTGTGCCACTATTCAGCAAGCACACGCGTCCTGCTTTGGCACGTCGTCGCCCCTTTTGATCAGATAAACCCCTTCAAAGACCTGACGCGACCGTGTTTTGCCGCCGCCGCGTCGAGGCCTGGATTGGGATGGACTCGCTGTTGCCCACACACCACCTGACGCGGCCTGACATGACACGACCCTTGTCACATTGACGAACACATGACTGACCCGCCTGCCTTGTCGCAGCCCTGACTGTGCAGGCTGTATCGGAGCCCCCACTTATCGCACTGCGACAGCCCGACCGCGCCTGATTACTGGGTCGCAAAAGCTGCGGTGCGAGATGCGGGGCGCCGCGCGACGGCCGCTGTGAATGCACGCCTGGTGCTGTAATCAGTGGCAGCAGGCTGCAACGCTTTCATCGCACATGGCGGCATGCCCTCCTCCTTTCAATTGGCGCCCGATCATCTTTCGTGGCCCATAAGGGCGCTGTCACTGCTTGCGGGTTCGGGATAGCAGGGTGCCCCTGCCGTTGGCTAGATAATAGTGTGAAGAAGCTGGAGAGGAGAGAGCACCACACACCAGAAGACGTGGAGTTATACAGCGGCCAGCCATCCTCGCAGGTGGCCAACCACCCGGCATCTGAAGGCCTCACAACGGGACCCGCTGGCAGCCTAAGCTGTTCTGGTCAGCCAAGCACGCCAATGCGGCGGCCATTCAGCAACCAACTAGTCAGCCAAGCACGCCAATGCGGCGGCCATTCAGCAACCAACAGAAATAATCTTACGCGCCGCGCCAAGCACGCGTCATCCCCGGCTGTGCTGGACACTCGCCGCGGCAGCCGTCCCCCGGGTGACACGTGCTGAAGTCCGCAGGTGGTTGACGGACCAGTGACGCTGTGCGCACCAGCACGGACCCCGGCGACCAGTTATGAATGGAGCTTGTGACGACACAAGTTCATTATTCTTCGCCTCCTATCGTGCTCGATGTTCCCACGGCACTCCCAAGTTGGGAATGAAAAGCAGAGCCAGCAGGACTCAAGCGAGGTCGTCACACAGCATTTTGCATCGGATCTAGAAACATCTCTTGACTGAGCTTAGCTCGGGCACGTCAGATGGGGAGAGCAGCCTCGATGCAGCGCGCGACAGCGATCTTCGGGGCGCTTTTGTGCCTGGCCTCGGGTAAGGGTCCAACTGCATTCAGCGCTCCTTCCGCGCCCACATGTCACCCGCTATGGCGGCCGGATCACTGAAGGTCGCAGTCGCACCCAGCAGAGAGCGCATGAATAGGTGCTCTCCGCTCAGGCAGATGTATTTGGTGATACATACCTCACAGGGATACGCTTTACGGCCGCTCAGGGCAACGCAACCGCCGCCAGCGCGTCTCCTGCAGCTTCGCTGATGGATCCCCAAGGTCCACCGCCCACGACATTGCGGCCTACTGAATTGACGCTGCCTTCCGCGCCCGCCCTGAACGCCACGCCGTCACCCGCAGCCAGCCCTTTGGCCGCGCTCGAAGCCAGCCCTTTGGTGCCCGCGCCCGCGTCGCCAGCTGCCGAGCCATCGCCGGCGGCCGAGGCACCAGTGCAGGCTGATGAGCCCGCGCCGCTGGCAGAGACGGCGCCGGCTGTGTCACCGATGCAGCTCTCTGATGTGCAGCAGCCCGCACTCGTGCTTCCCGACTCAGCCGCAGCCGCGTCGCAGGCCGCCATCACCCAGCCCGCCGCAGCTCCTGGCGCGCACTCCGAGGGGGCATCTCCAACGCCTGCGCCAGATGGCGCAGCCTCCTCACCTGCCCCAGACGGCGCAGCCTCCTCCCTTGCCCTGGACAGCCCAGCTCCCACACCTGCTCCTAAGGAGGCTGCCGGGCCAGTGCCCGCCCAGCCCTCCCCTTCCCCTGTGGCGGAGGCGGCTGATTTGTCAGAGGAACCGCAGGATGGCAGCACTGCTGCCGCCGCAGCATCCGCCGAGGCTCCGGGAGCGCCAGCAGCTGTCGCGGCTGCTCCAAAAGAAGTTCCAGCGCCCAAGTCGCAGGTGCCGTTTGCTTGGCTTAAAGCACCCGCACGCACAAGTGCCTGCACTCTCTGCTCAATTCAGCACGGTCATCGTGCACGGCCGGCTTGTATTGTACCCGACCAGAGGCCACCAGTTGGCTGGTTTGACGGTGCGTTGAGGCATTGTGCATTGTTGTTTGCTACTGCAACTTGTTTTTGCAGCACGCACTGTCCACCGCCGCTTCGCTCTCCTTGGGGCAACAAAAACCTACAGGTTGCAACCGCCGCCAGTGAGCCTACCCCACTCCTCTCGCCTGTTCTTGTGCCGTTGCCGACATCGGGGCCGGATACACAGGCACCTGCACCCATGCCGGATGCCGCTGCCACGCCGGAGCTGGCGCCTGAGCAGGGTGGGTTAGGATCTTGAAAAGCGTGCATCTCGATACTTCTACGGCTCTCGCGGGGCTGCGCCAACACGGCTGTCCTCTGCAGGATTTTGCAGCACGCACACGCACTACCTGCATGATGACCCCTTTGCCCCCGCTTGGCTACCCGCGTCATCGCTGCACCTCGCAGCTGCCACACCCGTCGCAGCCCCGTCACCCGCCCCATCCCCAGCCCCTGCTCCCTCCCCGTCATCGTCCCCAGCCACGGCCCCAGCTCCACTGCCTGTGCCTGTCGAAGGTGAGCAAGGTAGGAAGGCAGGGTCGCATGGCTAGCTGGTGTGGGTAGGAGTGGCACACGCAGCACCAACCCGCCCGGAGCAGGAGGGCTCTGCACTTGCGCAACTACGGCGGGTTGATGTGGTGTGTCATGCTCTGTGTGGGGGCGCATCCGGCTTCGGGAGTATGCGTGGCTGTTGTGCATGCGCAGCACACCTGGGTCCTGAATTTGCGAGGGTGCTTTCGGCCAGGCGGTGCGTGTGGCAGCTGACCATGACTGCGGGACCTGCATGACACACCATCATTGACAGGCACAGTGTGTGCGGCACGGTTCTTTCACAACACTGCACAATTCACCGCTGCCTCCTGCCCCAACCCTTTGCCTACCATGCCCGCAGCTTCCGCGCCCACCCCCTCCATGGCCCCAGCATCTATTGCTCCTGTGGCAACCACCGCCCCGGCACCTGTGCCGAAGCCAGCGCCTGAGCTCACACCTGTGCCAGCTGCCGCAGTGTCAGCGCCTGAGCCTAAGCCTGCGCCAGCCGCCGAGAAGCCAGCGCCTGAGCCCAAGCCTGTACCAGCCGCTAAGAAGCCGCCGCCGCCTGTGCCGCCGCCTGTGCCAGCTGTTGCAGAACCTGCACCTGTGCCTGCGGATGTTCCAGCTGCCACGGAGGTGCCGGCTGTTCCCGCACCTGTGCCAGCTGCTGCCGAGTCGCCGCCTGCTCAAGCGGTCGCTGCAGCCCCGAAAAGCAACTCCGAGGCGGTGGCTCCAGGTGATGGGCTGGGGTACCTTCTCTTGGGGGCGTGCGACTTTGCAACATCGTCCCTGCAAAAATGGGGCGCGTTTCCACGGGTCCCTGTGCTGGGTGGGCTCTCGACCCCTGGCTCTGCCGACCCGCAGGGGGGGGGTGTATTTGAGAGCGTTCCTTTGTACTACATCAGAAGTACTGTTACCGGCATGGCGCTGTGTCAGCACATTCGACGGCGTGTGGCAGCTGAGGCGACCCCGCTTGCTGGCGCTCTCGGTTCTTCCACACATCCTGTGGCTTCGCAGTTGCCCCGGCGGAAGGCCCCCCGGCTGCCCCCGCTGCGGAGGCGCCTGCCGATGTTGCGCCTGCCAAGCCTGCAGCAGAGGCCCCTGTGGAGGAGCCCAACCCCACAACAGCGGCAACAGCACGGCCTGCTGCGGACGCCCCCCCAAAGGTGAGGCGGAAGGCGCCAGTGACGGTGCTGGTGCTGGGTTGTGGCAGCACACCGGGCCGCTGCAGGTGCAGGGGTATTAGCAGGTGCACAGCTCTTCGACTGCGAGATGCAGCCAGGGCTTCAGGTTCCTGCGCAGGCAGGGACGAGCCGGACGAGCCGGTGGTGCGAGCGGGCTCTTTTGCGGCACATCCGCCGGCTCGACCCACGCGTGCACATGCACAGGAGCCCTCCCGTGCGACCAAGCCGGCAGGGGCAACCTCTCCGCGCCTGACCCCACCACCGGGAGCTGCTGTGCCGTCAGCTGCTGTTTCAGGGTCGCAGGCAGCTGCTGTGCCACCGCCAGCTGATGGGCCGGGATCGCAGTCAGCTGCTGTGCCGCCGGCAGCTGCCGTGCCAGAATTGCCGCCGCCGGCTGCATCACTGCCATCGGCAGCGTCGCCGCCGCCGGCAGCCGTGCCTGCACCGCCCCCAGCGCCCGCGGTCACACCATCCGCACCGGCCGCACACACACCTGCGACGCCAGCTGCAGTGCCTCCGGCAGCCCCGCCCCCGAAGGGGCCGCGAGCGGCGCCGGCGGCCTCCGCTCCAGTTGCCGCCGCCTCGCCCGCTTCCGAACCAGAAACGCCCACGCCGCCAGAGCTGCCGCCCTCTCCCAACCCCATTGCAAAGGTGTCGCCGACCGTGGCCAAGCCGGCGGTGTCCGGGTGAGCTTCTCCCAGCTTGCGGGCAGCAGGTCTGGGCGCCAGGCTGGGAGCGCGGGCGCGGTCGGCTGCGTGCAGCGACGGGCACGATGCGTCACATTCAGACCCGTCGATGGCGAACGCTCGCTGGCCCTTGCCTCGGCCCGCATGCTCAGTGAGGACAGGGTACAGCGTGATACAGCCACAATATGCTAAATTATTCATCACGTCCGCCACCTCAAACGGCACCCCGACTCCCGCAGGCCCGCGGCTGGCACCCTGGCCGCCCCCGCGGCCGTCGCGCCCGCCGCCAGCCGGGAGCCTCTGCCCATCATAACGCCGCCCGAGCCGGAGGCCGGAACGTTCCAGGCTACGCCTGTCACCCTGACTGGCGGGACCAGAGGCAGGCCAGAGCCGGACAGCGCTGCGGCCGGCCACGCGGCCTGCGGGCTGTGGGTGCTGCTGGCTGCGGGCGGCGCGCTGCTGCTTGTTGTCGGGCTCTAGCAAGGGGGCTTGTTTGCTTGGTTGATCGGTGACCCCAGCAGGTCAGCGGCGCCGCGCTTGTGCGCACCCATATACATATAATTTTGCAGAGAGGCTGGCGCTTTCATCATCGTTGTTTTCTGAGGTTGTTTGGATTGGAGCTGATTCACCTCCATTTTGCTGACATCCGACAATCACAAGAAAGGTGGCAAAGGCCAGCGCTGATGTGCGGCAACCACATGGACATGCGCATATGCGCGTATTTTTGCAGCAACAACGGCGGTTGTGGCGGTGCAACCAACCCGCGACACCGAAAGACACATTGCACATTTCCGCACGCATTTTGACTGCCAGCATTCTTTTGTTGTTGAAGGGTATTGTCAATTGTAAAAGCTGTAAATATGGTCGTTCACGTTCCAAACCTTTGATGACAGTATGGGGATTGCCCTGTGGTTGTCACTGGCATTCGCGCAATCCTGCCCCTCGACCTCAGACACATGCTGCTGACTGCTGCCGTCGTCCGCTCGGCCGGGAACCCCGGCCGGGGAGAGGAGGTGGTCCCCTGCGTAGTAAAAAATCGCCAGAGCCACCAGCTTGGGGGATAAGCAGCCAGATATCTTTGGGTGGGCCAAAAAATGGTGGTGCTCTGCGGCACAACATAGGTGGTTGCAGGGAGAATTCGTGCTTGTACACTACGCAAGCTGTCTGATGTCATCGCGGCGGACAAGGCATGTCATGCATATGCGGTCAGAGCACCACTTACTTTTCATCTTAACCCAGGAGCTACAGACACAACACCTTTCCGGCGTCTGCATCACATGCAATCTGTTGCTCTAATCCTCACACCCGGAACCAGTCACACCCTGCACCAGAGTACTGCACTGGTGTGTAGATGAGCTGTGGCAAGCGAGCGCATGTGACTGACACCGTGTTATTCCCGATTTCACACTTACATGAGCCGCGTTTACACTGCTTGCAGTCGTCTCAGCAGCTCGAACGGGTGTTGATTCGCGACAACGTGGAACTATTCAGCGTGACTTTGTCTTAGTAGCACTTCTGACACCTTAAGCAGCGTCTGTAGTTACCTAGAGGACAGATCCGCGCCGCACCGGGACCCTTCCGCGGCACCAGCAGCGCCGCGGCCCGGCCGCACTGCTCGCCAGCGGCGTCATGGCGTGGGCGGAGGCGCCGCTCTTCACCTTTGCGGTGCTGTCGGACATCCAGTATGCTGACAAGGTTTGTGGTGCAAGCCAGGTGCAGTCGTCCTGCTCGCGCTCTGCCTTGGCCTGGCGCTCCCTCAAACACCAGGCTACTGGCGTTTCGGGGGTCCTAAGAAACCATCAGCGCAGACCGCATGCGCAGCTCATTGCACACCTGACCTCATTCTTGCAGCTAGCTGCAGGCGCACACACCCTTGCGCACATCGCCGGCCAGCCGCAACGCCCGCAGGGCCGTGCGCCCTGCCCCCCTCCCTTTGCGTGCGCGCGATCCGCCTGCACCGCTGGCACGACCTCGCCCCCCGCAGGAGGACGGCCACTTTGACGGCCGCACGCAGCGCTTCAGGCAGGTGCCCGCCAAGCTCAAGGGGGTGGTGGACGCCATACTCACAGAGCACACACGCCTGCTGCAGCGCGGCGGCGGCAGCGGCGGCGACAGCGGCGGCGGCGCCGCGGCCGGCCTGGATGGCGCGGCCAGCGGCGGCGGAGCGGATGGCGGCAGCAGTGACGGCGGCGGCGGGGCCCCCGCAGGCGGCCTGGTGGCGGCGTTGCACCTGGGTGACATCATCGACGGCTACGGCCCGGACGACCCAGATCACGATCTGAAGTCCCGCCGAGATCTGGATCTGATCTTGGCGCAGCTGGACCGCCTGCCGGCCGCCGGCGTGCCGCTGCGGCACGTGCTTGGCAACCACTGCTTCGCTGTCCCGCGGGCTGAGCTGCTGGGGCGGCTGGGGTTCCCGCAGGGCAGCAGTGGCTACTACTCGGCGCGCCTCGCGCCCGGGTGGCGGCTGCTGGTGCTGGACACCACTGACATCAGCCTGTTTGGCCACGAGGAGGTGAAACATCCCCGCGCGCGTGCCACACACACACACACACACACACACACACACACACACACAACACACACACACACACACGCGCGCGCGCGCGCACGCGCACGCACGCACGCATGCACGCACGCACGCCCACACGCGCGGAGGCGCGCCTGTGTGTGGCGCCCTGCACGCGCGCGATTTCGGCCCGGGGATTGGCTCAGGCACCCGTGAAAGCTGTTGAATGGGGTCGTTGGGGTGGCCAGGGCCATGCGCCAAAGACGAACTTGGGGAGCAGCGAGGAGAGCACGGGTGCGGCAGGCGGAGGATGGGGCAGTGCACAGTGGAGTGAGGAGAAACACAGCAGCAGTCGCAACAGCTCCCCTCACGGGCTCAACCCCGCAGGGCTCGCCGGAGGCCGCCGAGGCCGCCGCGTGGCTGGCGGCACATCCGACCCCCGCCCACCCCAACGCCCAGCCCTGGAACGGCGGCGTGGGCGCGGCGCAGGCGGCGTGGCTGCGCGCGCAGCTTGATGACGTGGCGGCCGAGGGGGGCCGCGTGGTCGTCGCCGCCCACCACCCGTTGGCGCCGGGGGCGGCCCCAGACGCCTACCTGGGTTGGGGTCACGCTGAGCTTAGGGCTGCGTTTGAGGAACGGCCGGGCGTGGTCGCGCTTGTGGTGAGTGCCTCCCCTGCGCCCCCGCGGCTCCTAGCAG